GCCGCCCGCTCCGGCTCGCTGCCCGTCACATCCACCGTCTCATCAGCTTCAGGGACAGAAGGGGATGCTGGTGGTCACTCCACCGTGATGACAGCCGCCTTCCCATCCCCTCCCCACCAGCGGCCACTCACCATCTTCAGGCTCCAACTTGGCACAGGTTTCTGCTGTCATCAGACTGGCCATGAAGCGATGGTTGGTGGGTGGCGTGGGCACTCGGGGACCCGGGGTGACAGTGATGGTGGCACTGGGACCACGGGGAGCCGGACAGGGAGTTGGTGGGACCTCCCGGGTGGTGGCCACATGCTCAGGGGGCAGCTCGGTGTCCAGCTCAATGCTGTCCAGCCGCACCTGGGCCGTGCTGCGGGGCTGGCGCTCGTTCTGCACAGCTGCAGGGACAAGGCGGCATCAACACTGGCCATCCCACTGTCATCCTCCCCCTCATCTGTCAACAGCTGTCACCCACCACCCGTCTCACCATCCTTGTTCATGCCAGCTTGCAGGCACTTCTTGAGCCGGCAGGCCTGGCACTGGTTGCGGTGCGCCTTGTCCACCGGGCACAGCCCCGTCCCCGCCTGGCACCTGCAGTGGCAGAAGTGGCACCCAGCTGCAGCTACTGCGATGGCCCCTGGCCTTCTGAAGTGTCCTGCCTCCGCGGATGCAGTGTCCTGGCGGTGCTTTGTCCCCATTGAGTGTCTTGTCCCATCACCAGTGGGTGTTCTCCACCCAATGGGTGCCCTCCACCCAATGGGTGCCCCAACCTAATGGGCACTCTGTCCCCAAGGGCTGCCCTGTCCCTTCCATGGGTGCACTGTCCCTGTCTTGATGGGTGTCCTAGCCCCATGGGTGCCCTGGACACCCCTACCCTGTGTCCTTGCCCTGCTGGGTTCAAGTACCCCTAGTCCCTTCCCCATTGGGTATCCATCCTCTGGTGTCAATTCCGTGTTCCCTACCACGCTGGGTCCCCATGTCCCACATCCCTGTCCCTCTGAGTGTTCATCCCCAAGGTCCTTGTCCATCTAGGTTCCCGTCCCCCCGTGTCTCTGACCCATCAGAACCCCATCCCCACCTGTAGATGAGCTTCCTGCGGACACTGCGTTTGAAGAAGCCGCTGCAGCCGTTGCAGGCGTAGATGCCGTAGTGCTTCCCACTGCTGGTGTCCCCACACACCTTGCACAGCAGCACAGGGCTCAGCGCCTTGCCAGGGGCCGGGCTCAACCCTGTGGGAGGGGAGCCACCACATTCAGGGCGACTGGGGACACGTCGATGTTCCTTGTTCCTCCTACCAGTCCCCACTGCTCCCCAGCACACTGGCACGGAGGTGTTTTCCATCTCTGCTGGTCCAGGGACATGGATAGGGACACCTCAGGGACTCCAGGTATTGCACATGGGGTTCGGCATCTTCCCACACCCCAGTGCCTGGGATGCTGTGGGATGAGCTCTCATGGGACTTTCAGAAGAGGATGAAGTGATGTCCCTAGGGATGGGGACTCTGGGCATCTCAGTGAAGGAAATCCAGGCATTCCAGAGAAGGGCCACGACCAGGGACCGGAGGTGTCTGGGAGAAGGGCCATTACTGGGGATGCTGAGAATCCCAGCAAGGGGATCCCAGAGAATGGTCACAGCAGAGGACAGTGGGGAGCCTGGAGAAGGGCCAGGGATGATGGGTGTCCAGGAGAGGGTTGTGACTAGGGACTGCAGACTTCCTGCAGAAGGGCCAGGGCTGGGGTCCTTAGGGATCCTGTACAAAGACCGTGATAAGGACCAGTTGGGGCTGGGGACTGCAGGGATTTCAGCTCAGAGAAGGACCATGATGGCAACCCACAGAATTGTGGAAAATGGTGATAGCTGAGGATCCCAGGCAGGCCAGGAAAAGACCTTGATGAGGACCCTCGGTATCCCAGAGAAGGATCACAATGGGGATATCAGGTATCTTGGAGAAGAACCATGATGAGGTCCCCAGGCATCCCAGATAAGGTCCATAACAGGGACCCCTCCATTCTGGAGAATGACTACAATGGAGACCCTGGGCATCTTGGAGAAGGTCCATGATGGGGACACAAAGCATCCTGGAGAAGAACCGCAATGGGGACCCCAGTTATCTTGGAGAAGGACTGTGATGGGGATCCCAGACATCCCAGAGAAGAATCATGATAGGGGACCTCAGCCATCCTGAAGAAGGTTCGTGACAGGGACCCCAGGTATCTTGGAGAAGGACTACAATGGGTACTCCAGGTATCTTGGAGAAGAACCATGATGGGAAACCCAACCATCTCAGAGGAAGACTCCACTGGTGACCACAGTCCCGCCACATTGCACCCACTCAAGCCGATCACTACCTCTTACCCGTGGGGCTATCATCCAGCCCGGCGCTCACCACCGACCCTGCCGGCGACGCAGCCATCCTGGAGCCAGTGTTCCTGATGTCTCCTTCTCCCTTCTCTCTGGCTGCCGCCGCGCTGGGTGCTCTGGTGAAGCGGTGGGTGCTCTGGCGAGGCGATGGGTCCTCCAGCAGCTCTGCAGGCAGCGGGGCTCTTGCCTTGCTCTCTTCAAGGCAGCTTAGTGGCAGGCGCTGTGTAAGCAGCCATTGTGGCCCCCCGCCTCTTTGTCACCCTCTTAATCTTTAGTGTCTGTGTGGGGCGGGGGGGGTCTGGGAGGTGGATCAATCAGCCACGCGATGAAGAATTAAAAAGGTGCTGAGCCCCAGCCTTGTAACCCTAAACCCTGCGACACCCAAGCCACCCTCCCCGCATGCTTGCCACCGGCCACCGTGGGGGTGTCACCCAGCCACCGTGTGGACCTCCCCACCAGCATTGAGAGGTTGAGATGTCTGTGTGGGGCGGGGGGGGTCTGGGAGGTGGATCAATCAGCCACGCGATGAAGAATTAAAAAGGTGCTGAGCCCCAGCCTTGTAACCCTAAACCCTGCGACACCCAAGCCACCCTCCCCGCATGCTTGCCACCGGCCACCGTGGGGGTGTCACCCAGCCACCGTGTGGACCTCCCCACCAGCATTGAGAGGTTGAGATTGTGGTGGAGGTGGGAGATGAGGCTTGGGGGGGGGCACCCCCTCCTCAGGACCCACTGGGTTCCATAAGCGCATAAGCCCTTTGCTAAGGCGGTTAGAGGGGAATAACGAAAAGTGGTAATTAAGGGGGGTAATTTCCCTGCCCCCAAGCAATTAATTACTGACCCTGATGGCATGGGAAGGGGGGTTGCTCAGTGAGGCTCCCCCAAAGAAGCTTAGCCTCGGTGGTCAGCACAGATCAACCCCCTCGTGCCTCAGTTTACCCTTCCAAGGAGATGTGAGGGGCCCCCAGGGGTATTGGGCCAAGGCTGCTGACGCTGCAGTGGGTGGGGGCCCGGGGGGCCCCGGGGGTCAGCAACGGGAACCCTCGCTGTGACAGGGCAGCACAATTTGGGATTTGAGGGCTTTAGCCGCTAAACCCCCCCTGCCCAGCTCAGGGGGACAGCGGGTGGCCACTGTCACCTGGTCTTGGCTGGTCCCAGGATGTGGCCAGGGGTCCCCGTCCCCCCGTGTCCCTCCGGGAGGGGTTCAGCCTGTCCCTGTGGTCCCGGAGGAGGCATCCCAGGGCAGCGGGGTCCTGGCTGAGGTCTGGCGGCAGTGGCACTGGTGGATCGGAGCACTGGGGGTCACCCCTGTGTCACCTCTGCCTGCTGCACGGTGCCATCATTCTGCCTGCTGCCTGCCTGCAGCCCCGCTGCCTTCAGCATTGCTCTGTTCTCCCCTGCCTGCAACTTCAGTCCGTGTTCCCCTGCCTGTAGCATCGTGCCATCCTCCCCTGCCTGCAACACGACTCCATCATTCCTGCCTGCAGCACTGCTTGAACTTCCCCTGCCTGCAATGTGGCTCTGTCACTCCCTGCCTGCAGCCCCCCCTCCATCCTCTCTGCCCACAGCATGGCTCCACCATCCCGGCCTGCAACACCCCTCTATCCTCACTGCCTGCACCATTGCTCCATGTTCCTCTGCCCGCAGCACGGCTCCATCCTTGCCTACAGCCTGGCTCTACCACCTCTACCCGCAGCATCCCTCCAACCCCAGTACCCCCCATCCCACCCTGCAGGCCCCAGCCCTGACCCAGATCTCTGACAGCCGCCATCTGCAGCAGTGGCCGCCCTCCTCCTCCTGTGGTAGAATTATGACGCAGGGCTAATGCGGCCAGAGCAAGCTGTCACCTCACTCTGCCCAGCCCTTGCCTGCGCCTTTGGTGCCTCCAGACCCTTCAGCAGAGCTTCACCCGTGGCTGACACAACCCTCAGTGCCTGAGCTGGGAGTGGGTGCTGGGAGCACCTGCACCCTGGGGTGCTGGCCCACCCATGAGAGTCACAGAGCTGTTGGTGCCGGGGGATGCTGGGGAGCCACTGACGTGACGATACATGCTGAGTTGGCTAATTTGCACATTCCCTCCTCGCCGTCGGGTAAAAGCCAGCTCCGGAGCTGGGATTTGGGAGGGGGATTAGCCAGGCCAACCATCTGCTGCTGGCCAATCATCTGCATGCCCAGGAAAGCCAATAATCACAAAAATATGGTTTCCCACCCTGTTCCTCCATGACACCCAGCTGGCTGCTGTCCCCAAGGTGGGGTCCCCATGGAACAGTGTCCCATTCCCCTCCCAGGGCTGAGCACCCCATAAGCACCCAACCCAAGCACCCACGGAAAGTTTGACCCATCCTGGTTCAAGGAGCGCCCTGAGCAGGCCTGACACCACTGCCAAGGGACTGTGGGCGGTGGGGTGGGGGTGAAGGAGCAAACATTAAAGCCCGCAGCAGGGTCGTGACTTGGCTTGGTGACAGATGCTGGGGCAGATGCCATAGGATTACTCAGCCTAAAACCTCAGGATCTGCCCCCTTCCCCCCCCCCTGCCCCAGCAGACAGAGAGCATTTAATTACTAATTTACTAATTACCCAAAGATGCTGATGACGGACTTGAGACCTGCAGTCAGGAGCAGTCCCAAGGTTCCAGCTGCCCTAAGCCCACTGGTTGTGAGGAGCTGGCAGATGTGCCCTGGCCAGGGCACAGCTCTACTGGGGACATGGAGTGACCCAGGGAGACACTGCTGTCCTGGCAGCCCTGCTCCTGCTGGTGATGGCATGGGGTGGTGAGGAATGGGGAGGGACAGTGGGGACAAGGAGGGGATGCTGGGGACCAGGAGGAGACAATGGGGATCAAGGGGAGATGGTGGGGACCAGGAGGGTACAGTGGGGATCAGGGGAAGGTAGTGAGGATCAGGACAGATTGATGGAGCGCAGAAGGAGACGGCAGAGATCAAAGGGAGGTGGTGGGGACAACAAGGATCAGGAGGGAATATCTGGGACCAGGGGGAGACAATGGGGACCAAGTGGAGATGATGGGAATCAGAAGGAGATGTTAGGGACCAAGATGAGATGGTGGGAGCTAGGAGAGGATGAAGGTGACTGAGAAAAGGTGGTGCTGATGAAGAGGGGATAATGGAGACCAGGAGGAGGTGGTGGGCACTAGGAGGGGATGATGAGGATCAGGAGGGGTCAATGGGACCCTAGATGTTTTGATGGTGACCAGGAGGCAATGATGAGAGCAGGAGGTGATGGCAGGGACCAGGAGGGGATGCTGGAGACCAGGACAGAACAATAGGGACCACGTGGGGATGATGGGGACCAGCAAGGTGTGATGAGGGGGCAATGGGATGCTAAAGGGTTGATGGCAATCATGAGGGGATAGTAAGGACTAGTGTGGGATGATGGGGACCAGAAAAAGAAGGTGGGGATCAGGAGGGGAGTATAGGGACTGGGAGGGGATGATGGGGACAGTGGTGACACTAGAAGGGGATGGTGAGAACCAGAGAGTACATCAGGAAGGGGCAACAAGGCCCAGGAGAGGGTGGTGGGGATCAGGACGGGACAAGAACAACCAGACGAAGTCACAAAGGTCTGGGAGGGTAGGAGATCACTGTGGGACTGGAGGTGGCTGGAAGGGGTTAACATGGCCATTCCATGCTGAGCTGTGTCCAGGCCAGGCTCTGGTTTCAGCTGTAATTAGCTCTTGTTTATTGGAGGCTCTGTGATAAATGATGCTGTGGAGGTCACCTGATGACAGAGGGTGACAGCTCCCATGTCACCAGTCCCAAGTCCTGCAGAAGCCTTTGCTGACCCTCAGGTGCAAGGATTAAAGTTTAATGTGGCTCTGGAGCTGACCCCGGGCACGCACTGCCCTGGGGACACGGGGCTGGGAACAGGCTGGTGGCTGTCCTTTGGGTCATCTTCAGGCATTTTGGCACCAAGAGGTGTTTTGACAACAACCTGGTGACCACTGGCTATCGGTACATTGTGGCCACAGGGCCGTATCGTGACTCCATTGGGGCCACCTAAGGTGTTCACTGATGAAATGTAACACCAGGCTGGGTTTATCCCCCTGAGACTGGCCCCGTGATGCCGGGACAGGATGGGCTCGGTGCCACGGTGAGTCCGGTCAGTGTGGTCCGGGCACATTCCCAGGCACCGACAGAGCGTGGGTGCCAAGAGCCACTGTGGTGCTTGCTGGGGTGGGTTGAGGTCCTGCCCTGCGGCCACCAACAGCAGCCTGGGGACCACGGTAAAGCAAGGAGACCTCGGAGACATCCCCATGGTGAGAGAGCTGGAGTGCTGGGGCTGGCAAAATGTTCGAGGCCATGGCTTGGGTTTCTGCAGGGCTACATGACACCACAAGTGTTTGGGGACAGAGAGGTCCCCGAGGTGGAGCTGGGCATGGCCCCATGTCCCCAGCTCTCTAGACATCGTGTTTTCTCCTTGCAGATGAACCTCCTTGCCCAGGTAAAGGCGCAGCCTGAGGGGAGGGCACCCACACACAGGCGGTCCCACTCCACTGCTGTGGCAGCCAGCACCCACAGACTCCACAGCTGGAATGTACCCGGTGCAGAGTCTGGGGATGTCGGGGTGTCAGGGGTCCTGGGAGGCTGCTGTGGTCTAGGGAAGGGTGCCAGCAGGGGTGGGTGCTGGGAGGGGTGGATGCCAGCAGGAAATGGATGCTAGCAAGGGTGGTTGCTCTCGGGGTTGTGTGCCAGCAGAGGTGGGTGCCAGCAGGGGTGGGTGGCAGCAGGGATGGATTCCAGGCTCGCTCTACCCCCTCTCCACACAGGTGAGCACCCTGGTGCAGACCTTGAGAGCCCTGGATGTGCTGTTCCTCCAGGCCCAGCGCTGGCTGGGCACCTGGGTGCGACAGGTTTGGGGGTGCTGGCATGGGAACCCCAGCCAGGGGCTTGGGCAGGGGATTGCCACAGTCCAGGCAGGGGCTGTGCCATGACACTGCTGCCCTGGCTCCCATCTCCCTGGAGCTACCAGGGCTGATGCTTGGTGTTTGTCCCTCCAGGTGAGCAGCTCCAGGCAGGTAAGTGCCAATGTCCCTTCTGCGTCACGCATCTCAATACTAGCACAGAACAGCCAAATTGGGCACACCCTGCCTTTTCCTTAAATCTATGGGTGCTCAACATCTGGAGGAGATGGACCCTTCTTGGAGGGTTTCCCCATCCATGGACACCCAAGCTGTGCCCAAGCAATTGGGAACAGGGGATGAACCAGCAGGTCAGCGATGCTGCTGGTGTCCCTGGGGCACTGGTGGCTCTGAAATGCAGATGGGTTCCCAGGCGGCAGCTGGGGCAGTGAGCACGGCGGCGTTCTTCCTCTGTGAGGGGTTGCTGGGCCAGAACTTCGATGTGGTCCCTGATGGGGTGGCTGAGCCCCAGCCTGGGGACCTCTTCCTCTTCCCACTGGCCTCAGGAGGCCCTGGCTGGTGGGGCGCCCATGCTGGCATCTACTGTGGTGACGGGGAGATCATTCACCTGGAAGGTGAGCCCCAGGAGGTGATCACAGCATGAGGATGGCCCCATGGAAGGGACACAGGGTACAGTGTCACCTCCGCCCCACAGGCAGCTCAGGGACAACCCCATCAGGGATTGTGGCCAAGCATGGCAAGAGCCACCTCCTGCGGACTCGGGGTCCGGCCAAGGTGCTGCGGAGGAAGGGAGGGCTGGATGCAGTCATTCTGCAGCGACGGATCCGGGCGGCCATGGACCAGGCGGTGGAGTACGATGCTGTCACATTCAACTGCATCCACTTCGCCCTTGCCCTCCTAGGGCTTGGCCACCTCTCTGGTGCTGTGGTGGGTGCCACCATCATAGTGTGTGCCCCAATGCCTGTCCTGGTTGAGTGTCACCACAGCCCATCTTCTCTCCCAGGTGTCCCCAGCACTGCAGTGATGGAGGCGATAACATGCTCTGGAGATGTGTGGGACTGCAACATCCTTCCCAGGGCACCAGCATTGCACCAGCAGTTTTGGCATCCCTCCTGTGTGGCAATAAATAGTTGCACTGAGGAACCTATGTCCACCCTGTTTGATATCTGTTGTTTTTCACTTCTGCTTTCCTTTTCCCAGAAGCTCCTTTCTCTGAACTCGCTGATGAGTGATGTCTCACCCCTGGCGCAGTCACTGCCTCATGTCTCCCCTCTGGTTGGAGGCCAGGCCGTGGTGTACCCCCGGGCTCAGTACTGGGTGCAGGTTGGGGCTGGAGGAAGGTGTCTCAGAGATGGGTGGGAGGGCACTGCAGAACATGCACTTTTGGAGGTGTCCTTCAGCTCCTCTGACTCAAGAGTATTTCCTTGTTGCTTCCATTCAGAAACTTAACAATTAGAGAGTATTTAGCAAATTAACTCCAGCTTTAAGAAGTGAAAAAAACCCATGCGAGGGTTTCCTGGAGTTTGTACTGCTTTGGGGTTTTGTTTTCAGCCTTTCTCCGCCTCTTATGTGACTCAGGAAGGATGTGAGGCGTGGTCTGGCCCTGGCGCCTGCTGACCCACCCCTCCCTGCTTCATTTCCCCGCAGCCCTTCGTGGAGGTGCCAGCAGCCCGGCTCTGTCACCAACTTCTCAGAGAAAACACCACGAAGCAGCAAGAGCAGCCTGGTAAGGACACTTCCATCTCCACAGGCAGCTGCTTGTACCACCATTGCACCATGACGGGGAGGTGGATGATGAACAGGGCTTGTCCTGGGACATCTCCAGCTCAAAGAAATTGGGAAGAATGGTGGGCTTTTGTCCTAGATAAGCCCTTGAGCCTCCTAGGAGCCATCACAGGCAGGATATGATGGCAGAGTGGGACCTTGTCCTCCACACACAATCAGAAGGGGATAAGCATGGCACTAACATCCCATTTCTGTTGCTCTCTCCTTGCAGATGTCAAGCAGCTATGTAAGTAGGAACTGGGTAAGACCTCTGTTGGCAGCACAGGGGGATGCTGTGGGGCAATGTGACTGCTTCCACCACCTCCTCACCTTCTCTACCTGGTGCAATTGGCAGAGAGGGCGTGAGGTGCTTGAGTTTCTGCTGTTCAAAAGCATCCCTGAGCATGGGAAGGTCTTTGAGGAGGTGTTGGAGGATGAGTTGCAGCCTGGGGATATTGTGCTCTTCCCCATGGGCAATCCCATAGGCAACTTCAAACACACTGGTGTCTACTGCGGGGATGGAGAAGTCATACACTTCCAGAGTAAGTACACTCTACTTCCGTTTGGGATGTGACAGTGTCCAATATGTGGATGGGCCAGAGTGATGGGTGGCTCTCGGTTTTCCAGAGGCAAACTTATGGGGGAAAAGTGGTCTGATCAGCAAGGAAGGATACAAAGCCATGGTAAATGAGAGGGGAAAATGCAAGATTTACCGGAAAAAAGGTGGAATCGACCTCAGTGACTTCAAGACGAGAGTCAGGCAGGCGATGGATAGTGAAGCTGACTATAGCCTCTGTAGTAACAACTGCATCCACTTCGCCCTCTCCCTACTGGGCTTGGCAAACTTCTACATGCAACTGGTGAGCATGGAACTGGGCATCATGGCTGTGATGGGGCAGCTTCTGCACCCACACCCTGCCCTGCATATGAATGCTGACCTGATTCCTTCTGGGGCTGGCCCATGGGGAGTGGGGACAGGAGTGGGGACAGCAGTGGGGACAGCAGAGCCCCCTTGCATGGAAGGCTTTCCCTTGCAGGTGAAAATCCAAAAGGAAGATGGCAGCTGCAGTGGTGGGACTGTGAGTATCCGTAGTGTCAGCCATCCCTAGCAGGGCTGTGGGGTCCCTGGGGGGGGCTGTGGGGTCTCCAAGAGGACTGGTGTCTCCAGAAAAGTTGGGTTCTCCAAAAGAACTGGGGTAACTGGGATGGTTGTGGTGTCCCCAGGGGTTTGGGGGTCCCCAGGGGTTTGGAGGCCCCCAGGATGACTATGGTGTCCCAGAGAGGGCTGGGTCCCAGGCAGAGATGAGATTCCCAGGAAGACTGTTTTGTCCCCAGATAGGCTGGGTTCCTGAAAGAGGGCTGGGGTCCCTGGGATGGCTGGGGTCTCCAGGAGGTCTGGGTACCCACAAGAGCTGTAATCTCCAAAAGGGGCTGGGGTCCTCAGGGCAGCAGGACAGGAGACTGTCACCTTCTTTCCAGGCCACCTGCAGCCCCTCCACCCCGGTGTTGCAGACCAGCAGCCGCATCGTGTGAGAGGTGGTGGCCACCACGTCCTCCTGAGAGTGATCCCTAGCGTGACCCACGAAGGTGCCTCACCATCCCTTTGTGCACCCCAATGCCTCACCCCAGGGAAGTACTTACATGCATCAATCAGATGTTTCATTAAATTTTACCACCTGAGATATACCTGTTTTTCCTTCTTGTCTCCTGAGCATCACCTGGTGAGCATGGAGACACCCTGGGACATAGCTGTGTCCCCCAGTGTCCCAGCTGACAGCACTCAGAGAAAGCCCAGGCCTGGATGCGCTCAGGCACCCTGTTGGCTCTTTTGCCAGTGGGGACATGCTGAGCCCAGGCTGCTGGACACCATTGGTGGCCACTGAGGATGGACAAGGCTGAGGCAGGGGCTCACCGTGACATTGCACCTCTGCAGCAGGGGCTTGGAGTTGCACAGGAGCAGGGAGTGGTTGGGGTCTGTGACGTAGGGATTGCACTTGTCTCCACCTTGGCATCCTTGTTGTCCTCCTCCTCAAGGCGGTAGAAAGCCTTCACAGTGCTTTCCTTCAGCAATGGATCCTGAAAGCAGATGGGACACCTTGAATCCTCCAACAGCATCCTCCTTCACCTACCTCCTCAGGGGTCACAGTGCACCCCGAGGCTCCTGTTGGGGTGAATTGCAGCCATGATCCTGATGCCCTTCCCAGTGGACAAGGCCATGCCTGAATGTCACATCCAAAAGTGACACCCATTCTGCAGCTGGGGATTTGGGACTGTGCAGGGAGCTCCTTCCCTGGGTGCTTTGAGCAGTCAGTCCATGCCAGAGACGCCCTGTCATGATGGGACACACACCTGGGTGATGGGTTGGCAGGATTGAACACCTGTGGGAAAGGGAAATGCCAGGTTTACCAGAAAAAAGGTGACATCAACCTCAATGATTTCAAGAGCAGAGTCATAAAGGCAATGAACAGCGAAGCCAACTATGACCTCAGAAATAACAACTGCATCCACTTCACCCTCTCAGTCAGAGGAGCTGAAGGGTATTTCCAAATTTCCAAGAAGGCCTGTGGGTCGAGACAAGGACAGGGAGATCACTCAGCAATTACTGTCACGGGTAAAACAGGCTCGACTTGGGGAAATTCATTCCATTTATTGACAATCAAGTGAGAGCAAGATAATGTGAAACAAGAAAAATATTGAAACACCTCGCCCTCACCCCTCCCTTCTTCCCAGGCTCACTTCACTCCCCATTTCTCCACTTCCTTCTCACCAGCGGCACAACGGGACAGGGAATGGGGGTCATGGTCAGTTCATCACATGTTGTCTCTGCCGCTCCTTCCTCCTCACTCTCTTCCTCTGCTCCAGTGTGGGGTCCCACCCACAGGACACAGTCTTCCACCAACTTCTCCAATATGGGTCCTTCCCAAGAGTTAAAATTCTTCATGAACTGCTCCAGTGTGAGCTCCTGTCCACAGGGTCACAAGTCCTGCCAGTAGCCTCCTGGGATGGACATTTTTGGGATGTCTCTTCCAAGCTCTTGGGTCTCACCATGAGTCAAACCAGCCACAGTAGTGGGGTGGGGGACCACTCTGGCTGGGTGCCACACCTTTGCATCCCTCCCAGGGACCTTCCCCCCCGAAGACACCTGTCCTCTTTGGGGATGCCACAGCAATCTGCAGAGGCCACCAATGGTGTCCAGCAGCCTGGGCTCATGATGTCCCTGCTCGCCAAGGATCTAGCGAGCCCCAGATGGGTTTTTCCACTTCTTAAAGCTGGAGGCAATTTGCTAATTATTCCATAAATGTTAAGTTTGGGAGCAGATGGAAGCAATAAGGGAGATCCTGGAAATCCTCTTGAGTCAGAGGAGCTGAAGGGTATTTCCAAAAGTGCATGTCCTGCAATGCCCTCCCACTCGCCTCCCAGAGAAGCCTCCCTCCAACCACAGCCTGCACCCCGTATTGAGCCCTGGGGTGCACCACTGCTGCTTGGCCTCCAACCACACCTGCTCCACACATTTGGCCCATTTTCCACCCAGCAGCCCAGGGAATGGCTATTTTACTGCTCAAAATCAAATGCAGGAGGGAGTGGCTGCACCAGGGCTGGGCTGTTGCTCACCAGTGACTTCAGGGAAAGGAGCTTCTGGGAAAAAGAAAGCAAAAGTGAAAGCAACAGAAATCAAACAGGGTTGACACAGGCTCCTCTGTGCAACGTTTTATTCCCGTACAAGTGGGAGGCCAAAGCTGCTGCTGCAGTGTCCATCTTTGGAGAAGGCTGCTCCAGTCCTGTGTGTTCCCAGGGTGCATCAACACTTCTGTCACTGCAGCACTGGGGACACCAGGGAGAGAAAATGGACTGCAGTGATGCTCGGCACCCACCACCCACCCCATCCTTCTCCAACCCACAGCAACCTCCCTGGACGTCCCCTCACTCCCACACCCCCAGACTCAGCACTGGGCAGGTCCCAGCCATAGGATCTGTTGATGCCAGGTACATCTCAGGTGCACAATCTCAGGTAGTAAAATTTAATCAAACATCTCATTAATGCACAGCCATTAAGCACCAGCAAGCAGAAAGCACGCCCCACACCCGCCACACATCTATTGCCCTTTCACTGGGGCAAGGTGTTGGGGTGTACAGGGGGCACTGAGGCTCCTCTCTTGGTCGGGGGGCATTGTCCTCAGGGGAACACGGTGGCCACCACCGTTCATAGGATGCAGCTGCTCATCTGCAACACCAGGGTGGGTGGGCTGCAGGAGCTCTGCAAAGAGGATGATGGTCCCCTGTCCTGCTGCCCTGCCCTTTCCACCCTGTGTGGCTGGGTCCTGTCCAGTGCTCACCAGTTGCATGTAGAAGTCTACCAAACCCAGCAGGTAGAGGGTGAAGTGGATGCAGTTGTTATAAACAAAATTATAGTCAGCTTCGTTGTTCATCGCCTTTATGATTCTACTCTTGATATCATTGAGATTGATCCCACCTTTTTTCCGGTAAACCTGCCATTTTCGTCTCTCCTTTATCATGGTTTGAAGCCTTCCTTGGTGAGCTGACCACTGCCATTCTCTTCTGGAAAACCAAGACCCGCCCATCACCCTGGCCCAGCTGCATTTTGGCCACCACCACACCCCAAGCAAGAGAAAGGGGTGAGATGTTTACCCCGGAAGTGTATGACCTCTTCATAGCCACAGTAGACTGCCGCATGGTTGAAGATGGCTCCGCTGAGGCCTGAGCTGGAGTTCAATGGAAAGAGCAAGATGTCACCAGGCTGCAACTTGCTCTCCAAAACCTCCACAAGGACCTCCTTATGCCCAGGGACGCTCTTGGCCAGCAGAAAATGGAGTGCTGCGTGTGGCCTCTGCCAACCGTACAAGGGAGGGAAGGTGAGGAGGTGGTGGAACCAGCCCCATCGCTCCCCCAGCAGCCCCTGAGTCTCCTATGCTGGTCCAGTCTCACCGAGGTGATACTTGGAAAGCCAAGAGCTACTGCAGCGATACAGCCTAAGCCGATCAATACCTGCAAGGCGACAGGAACAGAAAAAGCACATCAGTGCCATGTCTGTCTGGTCCTACCTGTGTGCGGAAAA